TTTTTAAGTAAACTCACTCTAAAAAGAGAAACGCACAGACGCGCATACACGCAACTTTCATCTCTCTCTGTCTCTCTCTCTCGCTCTCCAATTGGCAATATTTGAGAAAAGGGTTTAGCGATTTATAATTATTGGGGGGACTAGCCCCCCTCAATGTCTATGGTGGTTATCGCCCTGATCAGATGTGAAAATATGTTGTGGCACTATATCGTGCAGTCTGTATGATATGACGTTAGCAAACTTTAGCGATTTTTTGCAAACATTTCTTGCAAACATGACCATAAATATGAACTCACGATTGAAAGTAACATAAAACAAATGATTACTTTTCGTTAAAATCTTTATTAATGCCAAAAATGCTTACATTTATGTGTCTTTTTTTTCGCTCGGGCAGCCATGTTGCCACTGAAGCCTGTTTACGCTGAGATAATTCATACCCCTTCATTTGAAGTGTGGTCCCGAAAAATCTTAATTTGAAGGGCTATCTGGCCCTTCCCCTACCCCTCCTACCAAAAGAGAATCGAGACACCCCTACCCCTTCACGTGAACGCGCGAAACGGAGGCGTAGGGGAAAGGGGAAGGGCTAAGGGGTAGAATTGGGATTGGGCCTAAGTGAAGTGACGTGTGGCCAAGTACGGTGACCCATATTCGGAATTTGTGCTCTGCATTTAACCCATTCAAGTGCACACACACAGTAGTGAATACACACACACCCGGAGCAGTGGGCAGTTGGAAGTTGGGGGTTCGGTGTCTTGCTCAAGGGTCTCGCCACAGCCGTGGTATTGAGGGTGGAAGAGAGCGCTGGTTATCCACTCCCCCCACTGACAATTCGGACCTGAGACTCGAACCCGCAACCTTCGGGTTACAAGTCAGACTCTAACCATTAGGCCACGACTGCCTCTCATATTATCAGAAATAAAACAAAAACAAACAACAAAATCTACCCTGTGGGGAAAAAACACAACTGGCAACTTGACCGTCTTGGTGGAACAGGCAAGATACATGATGTCAAACATTAGACAAATAACTGGCACAGGACTGCAAACACAAGGAGAATAAATAGGGAGCAAACAAGGCAGGTAACGAGGGAGGACAGGTGGGGCAAATGAACCAATAATGAGGTAAAAATGTGGGCGGGGTTAGACAATAGACAGAAGAGCACATGTCACACAGAAACAAACAAAACAAAAGCCATGTGCTCACATAAAACAAAAACACAAGCACATGGCCAGTGAAAACAATCACAAGCCATGTGCTCACTAGGGCTGTGTATCACCAGCAAAGTCACGATACGATACGTATCACGATACATAGGCCACGATACGATACGTATCACGATACATGACTGCACTGAATTTCACCTCAGCAGAATTTAGTAAAACAGCTGTTTATTAAACACTATAGTGCCATTTCTAACTATTGGCAGAGCAGGCAGCTGACCTCTGCATTATGAAGGGCCTCCATAACTGTACCACAGTACAATATAGGTAATTGCATATGTTTCATGTTTACATTGTGCACTCCCAACCAGGTACAATATTCTGATTGTTTGCATATTGTTTTTAAGACCACAAATAATGATGTACTTGTTCTAATAAATTTATATTGTAATGTACTCATTCTAATATATTTAAAAAATCATTTACATTGATGGTAGGTTATCATTGCACAAATTAACACACTCTCTA